TAGCAACCACTGCATGTTACATTCCCACCAGGAATGTACAAGTGTTACCACATTTTTGTAAAGCTATCCTATTATCAGATACTGTATATTTAAATGACAGTACTTGGGAATAACAGATGAACCTGGTGTCTTGTCATCCAGGGTTTTCTAAAGCAGCAAATGGGATCTTCCCTGATAGTGTAAGCAAAGGTGACCTCATCCCTAGTGTGAATGATAATTCTGGAACATTGCTCATTTGGTGTTTATCCTTTCCCGTTCTGATTATTGTGGTATTATTACACAAATAAATGCCCTGGTCTACAGAGTAAGTTCCAGGACAGCCAGGGTGTTACACAAAGAAACCCTGTCTCAAAAAAGCAAAATGAAACCCAACAACAAAAATGCATTTTCTTTGAACAGATTTTTTTTCTGACCTACCATTTCTTACAGATTGACCTTGTTCAGATAAAGCAGATGTTCACCCAGATGTATCAGAAGACACTAAGTACCATGATTGCCAGCGACACAAGCGGGGACTACAGGAAGCTGCTGCTGGCCATCGTTGGTCAGTGACAAGGGTTTTGTTTCCTTAATGAAGGGAGCTATTCTGAGCTTATCCTTGCAAGCAATGAGACCTGCGTGCAGAAATGTCAGCACCACTTAGCCGGAGTAGCTTTTTACTAAAAATTGTGTCAGGGTAATGTGCTTGGTTTGCACACATTGTTACTGCCTTAATTCCAATGTTCTTTTTTTCTTTGTATATCCAATCAGTGTAAAAGCCATATCAATGACGTAGTAATTTTGTGCCATTTGTAAAGCTTTTTTCTCACTGCTTTTGTTTTAATCAGGATTTAAAATTGAATAAAAATCACAACAATCTAATTCTGTGTAATGTTAAAGTGTTCATTACCTGTAGTTCAAAAACTGAGAGAATGAGAATGGTGTTTTTTAAAACTGATGCTGGTCTGGTTTGATTTCAGAGTGCAGTTTTCAGCTCAGGAACATTAGGACTTAGAAGCCAAAGTCAGTCCCATCTGATGGCTGAGGCTCCCTGGTTCAGGTGGAGTCTCAGCTTCAGCTGGCGGTACTGAAGAGCTCTAGAGCCGCCCGATGTCCGCTCAGATAAGACAGTTTGTCGGGAAATCTCTTAACTCTGGGGATTTCACTGGTGTTCTTGAGAGTCCTTTTCTATTCCAAGGCCAGCTGTTAGGAGTGACTCCCACTGCATGGGAGGGGTGCCTGGAACACCACACAGTTCTGACGGTGGTGACCCGTGCAAGGCTGGCTTCTAAGCGTTATCTCAGTAGCCAGAGTGTTCCCGAGGCTCTCGGGAGCTGAGCTGAAGCACAGGAAAGCTCCCTGCCTGCCCTCCACAGCATAGTCCCTTCAGCCCTAATAGAATCATTTCTGTGTTCCTGCCTGATCGCAGTGGATGAGGTCACAGGGAAATTCACCTCAATTATGGAAGCCTCTGTTTTCCTTTCCAGCTTTTAAAGAAAGATTTTATATGTATGTGTGTTGCCTGTGTACATGTACATACAACCACTTGCGTACATTGCCGGCAGAGGCCAGAAGAGGTGTTGGAAATCCTGAAACAGGTTACAGATGCTTGTGACTTGTCCTGTGAGTGCTGACTCCTAAAACGTCCTCTGCATGACCAAGATCTTTGAGATTTTTATTTTACGAGTTTATTAGACTGGAAAAGTGGAAAGCTATGGTCTGATCTTTAAGATAAATAAGTTTGCAAGTTTATTTAAGATAAGCAATAAGTTTGGTCCAGTGACTTTACAGAAACAGTAAAATGGTATAATACTTTTTTAAACCACAGTTCTTTTGACCTAGAGTGGTAATTATAATTTGAATCTTTTTTTTTAAAAAATTACTTATTCTTTATGTGTATAATTTATTCTGTATACCCTTCAAGCCTGGGGCCTGAGGAGTCCAGAAGAGGGCAGCAGATACCCTGAAAATGGAGGTACAGATGGCTGTGAGCTGCCATGTGGGTACTGGAATTGAAGCCAGGTCCTCTGGAAGAGCAAGCAGTGCACTTGACCACTGAGCCATCTCTCCAGCCCCAAGTTTGTTTGCTTGTTTTTCCTCAGTTGTGTATTTTATTTTTAAAGACAGTCTTGTTTCATAGTAGTGACTGACTTTGAATTTGGAATCTTCCTTTCTTAACCATTTTAAGTTCTGGGATTATAGGCATATACTACCACATCTAGCCCCTAAGCTTAACTGATATGTAATTGACAAAATTTAAATTTGCTTAATTTAAGCCTCACAGTATGATCTTTGATAGAACTAATCTTGTGTAGTGTCTTCCATAATCAAGTTCAAACTGTCACACACACACACACACACACATACACACACACACACACACACACACACACACACACACACACACATATATATATATATATATATAGAGAGAGAGAGAGAGAGAGAGAGAGGAAACTTAGGGTATACCTTAGTACCATTTAAGTTTCAAGTGTGAGATGATACATTACATAAATTATAGTTACCACATCTCTAGGACTTAAAGTTGATAGCTTATACCCTTGAACATCTCCCATTTTCATGGCCTTTGCCCCTAGTAGCCATCATTCTGTTAATATGAGTTCAACTATTTTATATTCCACATACTTGTAATATAAATGACTGACTTATTTATCATTTTTGTTTTTGTGCTTGTTTGTTTTGAGACAAGGTATTATAGTGAGTCTTGGATGGCCTGGAACTCGCTGTGTAGACTAGGCTGTCCTTGCAGCCTCTGCCTCCCTAGTGCTGGGTTTGAAGGTGTGCACCACCATGCTCAGCTCATCTGCATTGTTGTAAATGGTAGGATTTCCTTTCCTTTTTCAAAGTCTGACTATTTTATCATGTGTTTACATATCACAATTGTGTGTGTGTGCACGTATACATTCATGTAAGCATCTGTACATAGCACAGAAGTCAGAAGACATCCTTGTTTTAACTGTGTGCAAGCTTCTAGCTGACTCAATTTCAAGAGAGTCTTCCATCTTCATTTCTCATCTTTCCATAGGAGCACTGGGATTATGAACTCTTGTGACTCGGACTCAGATCCTCACATTTAGACACAAACACCTGTGCCATTCATGTCCCTGATAGACCGTCTAGATGAGCAAATCGCTTCACCAGGCTAGACTTGGTAGACTTGAGTGTTCTTTACCACCTTGGATTTTTTTGGCAACCTTGTTCAAAATCTGTTGGTCTTAATGGTTAAGTGCATATTTCTTAACTCTCAGTTCATTTCCTTTGCTCTGTACTGTCTATCCTTAAGCCTCGATTAATACCTTTTAGACCAGCACTTTTATTATTATGAAATAGTAAGTGTGAGTCCTCTTGTTAATTTCTGACAAAGTCAGCAGTGGTTTTTTAAAAAAGGTTTATCCTCGGGGCTGGCGAGATGGCTCAGCAGTTAAGAGCACTGACTGCTCTTCCAGAGGTCTTGAGTTCGATTCCCAGCAACCACACGGTGGCTTACAGCCATCTGTAATGACATCTGGTGCCCCCTTCTGGTGTGCAAGTATACATGGAAGGAATGTTGGAATGTTGTATACCTAATAAATAAATCTACAAAAAAGGTTTATCTTACGTTTCAAATTGTGTATATGTGTGTGTGTGTGTGTGTGTGTACATGGGTGTAGGTGCCTTGGAGCTGGAGTCATAGACTTGGGACTGCTTGTCAGTTGTGATTTTGATAGCAACTGCTTAGACCCTGTCCATTTCCTTCCAGTTATACTGACAGGCATGGTCAGTGCAGAGACCACGCTTGGTGGTATAGTGTATACTTGGAATGCACAAGAAGCGTCTGGCTATGAAGCCCTAGCTAATGTGGAACTTGCTATGCATGCCCAACTGAGAAAATTTTTTCAAGACAGGGATTCTCTGTGTACCTTTGGAGCCTGTCCTGGAACTAGCTCTCGTAAACCAGGCTGGCCTTGAATTCACAGAGATCCTCCTGCCTCTGCCTCCCAAGTGCTGGGATTAAAAGTGTGCACCACCACTGCCCGGTCTCAGCTGAGAATTTTAAAAGATTTATTTTTCACTTTTACCTTTGCCTGAGCATAGACGCACACAGAGGCCGGAAGAGGTCCCTGGATCACTTGATGCTGCAGCCACAGGCAGCTGTGCTGCCCATGCGGGTGCTGGGAATCAAACTTGGGTCTTCTAGTACAGCAGAAAGGACGCCTTTGTTGTTGTTGTTGTTGTTGTTGTTTTTCGAGACAGAGTTTGACTGTGTAGCTCTGGTTGTCCTGGAACTTTCTCAGTAGACCAGGCTGACCTTGAACTCTCAGAGAGTCCCCTATCTCTGCCTTAGTGCTGGAATTAAAAAGGTGTGTGCCACCTGCTCCCTGCCACAGGCAGGGCTAACTGCTGAATCATCTCTCTAGATCCAAGAGTAAGCATTTAAGATACAGACATTTTGAGAAAAGACCCAAGTTATTAACTTACTTTTGAAGGAAAGACTTTAATATTGTCCAGGCTACCCTCAAACGCCCGCTCAAGCGAACCTTCCTTCTGCATCAGCCTCCCAAATAGCTGGAACTAGAGGTGAGAGCCTGGGCATCCTTTAAAATGATGTGTGCTCACACATATATTTTGTAAAGACTTTTTTCTTTTCTTTTTGGTTTTTGTGTTTGTTTGGTTGTTATTTTGGTCTGGTCTCACTGGACTTTTTTCTTTAACAAAGTTGCTTTTAGTTTTATTGTTCGTGTGTGTGTGTGTGTGTGTGTCTGTTGGTATATTGAAATCGAGAGTCGAGAAAACAAAAAAAAACAAAATCGAAGGGTGGAAAGCTGCACGTTCACCCAAACTAGCAAAAAAAAAAAAAAAAAAAAAAAAAAAAGTACTCAATAGGCGTGGTTTTCAAAGCACCTCTGCGATGGGAAAAACAAGTTCTCGCGAGAGTTAGCCGGTTGCTGGTTGCTATAGTTACAGAAAACATAATCAGCTTCTGCCTCAGGTAAGACAGCACCTCCCTTTGAGAGGCTTTGGGTTACTCCTTCTCCCCAGATCTTTTCTTCCAGACTTGCCCACTCTTTCCCTTTGGCCAAGGCCGGTTTGAAACTCCCGTGCTACCAAGGACTCTCCCTCCCAGCCCAGCTGCGTCCACCATCCCGCCTCACCCAGAATTCAGGCACAGCTTGCCGAAATGCTTGTTGAGGGCAAGAGCCAAACTGAAGCTTTTGTCCAAGGTCACACTTACTCGGTAGGAGGTGTTCCTACTTCTGGGATTGTGAAGCCAGTTCAGTGAAGTGCTTGAGACTCTGTTGTATGCCTAGCACCGCGAGGAAAGCCAACAAAACCCCCATCCTCAAAACAAAACAAATGTCCCGGGAATAAGGAGTGGCTGAATCTTCGTGGATAGGAAATGTTTAAAGGGAATGAGTAGCTTTGGTATCTGCCTTAGAAAGGACAGAAGAAAAACAATTAGGAAAGCAAAGAATGCGAAGTGATAACACGTCCACACTGGGGAGGGGCGGGCCCAGCCTAAGCCAGGTCATCATGGGCGGAAGATGTTGACAGCAGAGCTGACGCTGGAGCGTCGGAAGTAGTAATACAGCTGAAGAATATTTGTATCCCTATGCTTTGATCTCGATTTATTCTCACATTATGATCCAAACATACTGAAGTATCTGATTTGCTTTTTGAAATTTTTGAACCTTTTGCAGTCTTTTCTTTCTGTCGGGAACAGCCTTCATATTAAGCTATTCTTTTAGCTCCAGGTCACCTCTCATGAGGAGATTTTCTTGATATGCCCATACACACATGCGTTCTCAGATCCGGTTAGGTCCCAGCTTCATACATCCCTGCTCAGTGATGGCCTGGTAAGATAACAAACTTGTCTGAAACTGTTTGCTTCTCTCCTGCATGACGTATAGAAAGGCTTTAGTGTGTACCAAGTCATAATGGAAAGTTTGTTTGCTCAACCCTCTGCTAGGGTACCAGTCACCAAACTGATCCCTCTTGGTCTATTATGTGTCTCTCTTCCTCAGTAGACCTTAAATTCCCAAGGAAAGGGGGCTTATATAGTCTCCTATCCTCAGCAGTTACCCCTGTACCCAACTTAATAAAGTTTGCTTGATTAATGATTTTGACAGAAATAGAATCGATTGGAAAAAAAAAATCAAAGAGACTCAAAGTCACGTGCTAGTCTAGCACAGGGGGCACAAATGAACTCATTCATCTGGTACTAATTTACCAGAAGGGACTGACATAAGAAGGCATTCCTTTTGTGTGGTATGGTTGGTAAGGAAATTGTCAGTGCCACTGAGGCCCTGGAAGCGCCTGAAAGCATTTGGGAGTAGCAGAGAAGTGGGGCTCTTAGGCAGCTCCCAGACTGAGGAAGTCTGGAGGCTGCAAATTCTGCCCTCTTTTTAGATCACCCAGTCCAGACAGACTTGGAGCACTATGTCCTCACAGCTGACTTGTCCTTTTGCCTTTAAAGTTATTTAAATTTAAATCTATTTTCAGTGTAAAATATATAAAATTTCAATATGAAACAATGGATTTCCTTATGACAGATCCATCTGTCATTGTACTTAGGTTCCCTCCACTGTCCCTGTAGGCCTCGACTCATCCCTTCCACTCTCACCCCGAAATAATTCCATGTCTGCTTTTTCTTTCTTTCTTTCTCTTTCTTTCTTTTTTCTTTCTTTTTCTTACTTCCTTCCTTTCTTTTGTCAATAAAACTTTTAATGATTGTAAAAATCATTAACATGGTCTTGGTAAATTGATCAGGAGAGCTATTTATGTATTTTGCTTTAATACAATACACTGGGCAGAATAATATTCTATTTTTTTCTTTTTCTCATTTTTATTAGATTTTTAAAAAAGAAATACCGATCCAAATTTCCACTCCCTCCCCTCCTCCCATTCCCTCCACATACCCTTCCACCCTACCCCCAATCCTAAGAGAAGATAAGGCACTTTGTTTTGTGGAAGGTCCAAGGCCCTTTCTACTATATCTAGACTGAGCAAGGTATACATCCAAAGAGAAGAGGATCCCAAAAATACCAGTACACGCAGTAAGGATAAATCCCGGTGCCACTGCTAGTGGCTCCTCGGTCTGCCCCAACCATACAACTGTCAACCACATTCAGAGGGGCTAGTTTGATGCTATGCTTGTTCCTTCCTAGTCCAGCTGGAGTTGGTGAGCTCCCATTAGCTCAGGTAAACTGTTTCAGTGGATGAACCCTTCATGGTCTTGACCTCTTTGCTCCATAGTCTCATTCCTTCTACTCTTCAAATGGACCTTGGGAGCTCAGTCCAGTGCTCTGATGCGGGTCTCTGCCTCTGTTTCCAACTGTTATTGGATAAAGGTTCTATGGTGATATTTAAGATATCCATCAGTCTGACTACAGGGCAAGGCCAGTTCAGGCCCCCTCTCCTCTATTGCTTAGGGTCTTAGCTGGGGTCATCCTTGTGGATTGCTGGGAATTTTTCTAGAGCCAGGTTTCTTGCTAACCCCATAATGGCTCCCTCAATCAAGATATCTCTTTCCCTGTTCTCATATCTGTCCTTCCTCCATTCGACTATCCCGTTCCCTCAAGGAGGGATCTGTCCTTATCCCTCCCCTCTTTCCCTCCTGTTCCCCTTCTCCCCTTCCTTCTACTCCTCGCCCCCATGCTCCCAGTTTTGTCAGGCGATCTTGTGTGTTTCCAATTTCCAGGTGAGTCTATATATGTCTATCTTTGGGTTCACCTTATTACTTAGCTTCTCTAGGATCATGAACTATATAGGCTCGAGGTCCTTCTTTTTATAGCTAGTATCTACTTATGAGTGAGTACATACCATATTCATTTTCTTGGGTCTGTGTTAACTCACTCAGGACAGTGTTTTCTAATTCCAACAATTTGCATGCACAATTCAAGATGTTGTTGTTTTTTACTGCTGAATAGTACTCTGAAGTGTAAATGTGCCACACTTTCTTTACCCATTCTTCAGCTGAAGGACATCTAGGTTGTTTCCAGGTTCTGGCTATTACAAATAATGCTGATATGAACAGAGTTGAGCAAATGCTTCTGTATTATGATTGAGCATATTTTGGGTATATTCCCAAGAGTGGTATTGCTGGATCATGAGGTAGGTTGATTCCCATTTTTTGAGAAATTGCCATACGAATTTCCAAAGTATTTGTACAAGTTTGCATTCCCACCAGCAATAGATGAGTGTTCCCCTTACTCCACAACCTCTCCAGCATCAGCTATCATTAGTGTTTTTGATCTTAGCCATCTGACAGGTATAAGATGGTACCTCAGAGTTGTTTTGATTTGCATTTCCTTGATAGCTAAGGAAGTTGAACATTTCCTTAAGTATCTTTTGGCCATTTAAAATTCTTCTGTTTAGAATTCTCTGTTTAGTTCAGTACCCCATTTTTTAATTGGGTTATTTAGAATTTTAATGTCTAATTTATTGAGTTTTTTTATTTATTTTGGAGATCAGTCCTTTTTCTGATGTGGGATTGGTGAAGATCTTTTCCCTTTCAGTAGGCTGCCTTTTTGTCTTATTGACTGTGTCCTTTCCTTTACAGAAGCTTCTCAGTTTCAGGAGGTCCCATTTATTGTTGCTCTCAGTGTCTGTGCTACTGGGGTTATATTTAGGAAGTGGTCTCCTGTGCCCATGCATTGAAGACTACTTCCCACTTTCTCTTCTATCAGGTTCAGTGTGGTCGAGTTTATATTGAGTTTTTTAACCCATTTGGACTTGAGTTTTGTGCATGGTGATAGATATGGATCTATTTTCATTCTTCTACAGGTTGACATCCAGTTATGCCAGCACCATTTGTTAAATATGCTTTCTTTTTTTCCATTGTATAATTTTAGCTTCTTTGTCAAAAATAAGGTGTCCATAGGTGTGTGGATTAATATCCGGGTCTTCAACTGGATTCCATTGATCAACATCTCTGTTTTTATGCCAATACCAAGCTATTTTCATTACTGTAGCTCTGTAATAAAGTTTGATGTCAGGGATGGTGATGCCTCTGGAAGTTCCTTTATTATACAGGATTGTTTTGGCTACCCTGTTTTTTTTTCCATATGAAGTTGATTATTGTTCTTTCAAGATCTGTAAAGAATTGTGTTGGGATTTTGATGGTGATTACATTGAATCTATAGATTGCTTTTGGTAGGATTGCCATTTTTACTATGTTGATCCTTCCTATCCAAGAGCATGGGAGATCTTTAAATTTTCTGGTGTCTTCTTCAATTTCTCTCTTCAGAGACTTAAAGTTCTTGTCATATAGGTCTTTCACTTCCTTGGTTAGTGTTACTCCAAGATATTTTATGTTATTTGTGGCTATTGTGAAAGGTGATGTTTTTCTGATTTTCCTCTCAGCTTCTTTATCATTTGTATATAGAAGGGCTACTGATCTTTTTTTAGTTGATCTTGTATCCTGCCACATCACTGAAGGTATTTATCAGCTGTAGGAGTTCGCTGGTAGAGTTTTTGGGGTCACTTATGTACAATATCATATCATCTGCAAATAACGAAAGTTGACTTCTTCCTTTCCAATTTAAATTCCCTTGATCTCCTTTTGTTGTCTTATTGCTATTGCTAAAACTTCAAGCACTGTGTTGAAGAGACATAAAAAGAGTGGTCAGCCTTGTCTTGTTCCTGATTTTTAGTGGAATCGCTTTGAGTTTTTCTCCATTTAATTTGACTTTAGCTGTCAGCTTCCTGTATATTGATTTTATTATATTTAGATATGATTCTTATATCCCTAATTTCTCTAAGATCTTTATCATAAAGGGGTGTTGGATTTTGTCAAATGCTTTTTCAGCATCTGATGAAATAATCTTATGGTTTTTTTTCAGTTTATTTATATGAGAGATTACATTGATAGATTTTCATATGTTGAACCAGCCCTGCATCTCTGGGATGAAGGCTACTTGATCATGATGGATGATTTTTTTTATGTGTTCTTGGATTCGGTTTGCTAATATTTTATTGAGAATTTTTGCTTCGAGGTTTATGAGTGAGATTGGTCTGTAATTCTCTTTCTTGGTTGAGTCTTTGTGTGGTTTTGGTATCAGGGTGACTGTAGCCTCAAAAAAGAGTTTGTCAATGTCCCTTCTGTTTCTATCATATGGAACACTTTGAGGAGTATAGATATTAGCTCTTTTCTGAAGTTCTGGTAGAATTCTGCACTAAAACCATCTGGCCCTGGGCTTGTTTTGGTTGGGAGGTCTTTTTGCAAATATTTATTTA